GAGAGACACCTCACACAGTACGTTTTAAACACTTTTAATGCGGTCTACATACCACCCGCAATTTTTTTGCGTAAATTTCAACTAAAAGGCTTACTGAGCGGAGACAACAAACTGCGAATTTTGAAGTTTGGCCGTTTATGAGAAAATGCGATTTTTCGCTTTTTTGGCCGGAATTTCGGGTCAAGGCGCTGAAAAAGCCAAGTTAGGTTGTTTATGAGGATTGTAAATGCATATCCTTTACATCAATAGCAGTCAATCAAGTGTCAGTACATAGCTATTCGTGCATATTGCTCAAAATTCGTATCCTTAAATTCACGATTTCCGGGTTTTTAGGGGGTTCGTCAAGGAGAAATCCGAACAAAAGAGAGTTAACTCGGAACAAATTGTTTAACAAAATTTTCTTCTGTAAACGTCGTCAATAGGTCCTCTTGAACAACATACCAAAAGTTTACCACGGTTCGATCCCGGAACATCCCCCGAAATTGCCTAAAAGTCAAAATGGCGGCCATTATAAGGGCTCTGAGATTTCGATTTTCTTAAAATCCGCATACAGTGTCATGTGAGGTGTTAATTCCTATGTAATTTTGGTCGTAGATTTCAGATATGAAGTCATAAGTCCCCCGGACAAAGATGGCAGCCAATTTTGAAAGACGAGGGTGAATTTTTAAAAAGCCAAGATATGACTTAACATAATTATTTTCCAGATATCGTGTTTTTGTCCTACTTAGAGGGTAAAAAAAAACGTACTTTGAAAAATTCTATAAAAATTCCGTCAACACCACGTGAAAGTACGAAAAAAGTTGAGTCACTAACCATATTATCAGATCCCTGCATGAAAGTTATCGTGCGTAAGCAATGTGCAAAAACGTGATACACCGCGATGTGCGAATTTAAACCGCATATAGTCTTTTCGCCCTTCTTTGAGAGCAAAAAAATCGTACTTTAAAAAATTCTATAACATTTCTGTTAACACCACGTGAAAGTACGCAAAAAGTGGAGATAATTATCATAATTTCAGATGTCTAGATGAATTCCATCATGCCTACGGAGACGCTTCGAACCGCCAAAAAACGCGATTTGCGGAAATCCAACTTGCAAGCGTACCACATACAATGGCCGTGCGGCACGGGTAAAACAATTCTTTTTTCGATTTTCTTTTTTCGGTCTTTCTTTACACACTAAAAGGAAACTTTTGCGGGGTTCTCCCATTAAAAATTCGAAAAAGCTATTTTTAACGGCCACCCTAATGCATAAATTCTGTTTTGACCTTTCTTTGAGTTTTCCCTAGTTAATTCTAGTTCTACCTAACTTCCAAAAATTATCGAGAGAACCACTTTTCCCAGGGTAATTCTAGTTTTTACTAGTCTAAACTAGTTTTCACTAATATCCAAGTAGGTAAAACAGGTTCCAACAGTGAAAGTCCCAGTTAATGGGTCGATTGCGCTGTCAAAATCAAGAAACAAAATCGTGTTTTGATGCTTGATTTTTGCAGATAAGCTAAAAATATTAATATCCGAATAAACTGCAACTTTCTACGTTCAATATTAACCGAGATATCGCCCTTGGAAAAGTTGGATTTTTGACGTCATCCACCCTGGTAGTAACACCCATGGTTTCTTCCACATTGCCTTCATCAGTCAACGACGCACTGGTTACTTAGAGTCCCTTTATACTGAGAGTGTAGACAATGCGGATCCATTTCTGATTGGTTCCTGTATTTTAGACCTTCACAGTGTCACAAGCAGGAATAAAGATTACAGTTTCACCGATTACAAGGATTATAAACTGAAATGGACCAAGGCATAGGCGGGACGGTACGGAGAAAATGAAATGAGAGTGGGAACTAAGACAGGAATTCAGGAATGGGTTGATCAAGGATTACAGCAAACACATGATTTGTGTAATCTTTATTCTCGTTTGTGACATCCACAAGCCGCGTTACCTCAACTCTCTATATAAAGGGACTCTATGGTTACTCAATGTGAAACTTGGATGAAAGCAAGGTGGAAGAAACCAAGGGTGTCACTACTGCAGTAGATGACGTCAAAACCCCAACTATTCAGAGGGCAATATCTCGGTTAATATCGTGCACAGAAAGCTGCAGTTTGGACAGAACTTATTTTTTTTGACTAATCTACAAGAATCAAGAATCAAAATACAATTCTGTGATCAGCGCAACTGACCCACTGCAAATAGCAGGTTTTGAAAGTTTGAGGTGGAAGGAGGGATTAAGTGGTTCTTTAAATAGAACCGCTTTCAGATAAAACACTTGCTTCTCTGGGTGAACACACAGAAAGTTTAGGAGATTACCTCCCCCCCTCCCCCGCAAAAAGCCAGTTTCTCTCTGAAATTTAGCTAAAGTATAGAACCCATTAGAGCAAACATAAAGAATTGAATAAAATGAAGTATACTTTTAGATTTTTTGGCAGCATATTCAGCTAAGCGTTGCTCCTTCACTCGTTTCGCTTCTTCATCTTCATCCTTGGCGCGAGGGAAAAAAAAATTCAGAATTATTGATTTACAAAAAAGGAAAAATATAGCAATGCCCAAAACTGGAATAACTGATCATTCAAATACTTAAACTTTATACCTACCCTAGAAGGACAGCTGCAGAAAAAACAAAATTTCTTGGTAACTGAAGTACTACGCAGGGTGTCTACTAAAACAGGCTGGCCGAAAATCTGTACTTTTACAGCACATTCCCAAGAAATTCAGAACTTTTCAATACTTTCAACTGACGAAATTCGAAAAATTTCAAAAATTTTAATTTCCTGCTCAAATTGCGACAAAAATGATAAAAGTTCCAAACCTTCTTGCGAAATTTCTGTACTTCTTCGGTACTTCCGGACCGCCCTTGAAAAATCAATACTGTTTCCGGACTTTATGGAGATTCCGGGCTTGTAGACACCCTATATTATAGGACTTTAGGGGAATTATTTTAGTTGCGGATGTTACATTCTGTGCCTTAAACTGTCCAAAAGTTGGTCTGCTCAACCCAAAAAATTCAAAATTTTTCGGGAACTAAGTAATGGTAATGTACCTTACTCTCTATCATGCTGCAAATTTTTGTTGAAAAAGACTGTATACAATCTAAGATACAGGTCAAAGAGGGCCATTGCGGACGTTACAAAAAAGATCTCTCATTTTTAAGGACCTTACTTTGACTTCAATTTTTATAGAAACTATTTACTTCATCTAAATTCTGGTTAGACCTGGTAACGCATCATTAAGTCTACTTTTCAATCAAGTATCCATCTCAAATAAAGTTTAAATGATTTTGTTGAGATATTGCCACTCTTATGGTGTTGGGGACGTTACAGCCATGGAACTTTGGACCTAGATAGGCTTTAACTCTTGCAGTTTACGCAGTTGCTGATTTAAAAGGTAACAGCATGAGTTTCACCTTGAATTCAATACGAACAGCCGTGAGAAACTTTTCCAAAGTAAATATCAGATGTAATGGTAGAGCCTAATTCCTATCTTTAAAATACAACTTGAAAATATTTAAGCACAAATTATTTAAAAAAATGATCAGAACGGCAAAAGTAAGAGATATTACATTTGTGCCGAGTGTTAAAATGCGCCTTTTCAGAAAAATACAGGGTCAAAACGGCAAAAGTGAGAGATATTGCGTTTGTCCCCAGTGTAAAAATGCGCCTTTTCAGAAAAATACAGGGTCAGAACAACAAAAGTGAGAGATATTACGTTTGTCCCGAGTGTAAAAATGCGCCTTTTTGGAAAAATACAGGGTGTCCCAGATCACCCGTGGAGTGCTATTTATTCAGTTATTTTATGTCAAACAAAGTCGGATATGGCAGAAATTTAATGGAAATTGGCCCCAAGAAATCTGAATTTCATCCTCCCAAAGCCCGAACTGCTTCTCTTTGTGAGTAAAATGGAGGATCCACCTTCAAAAGTAGGGATGCCCATTAAAATGATTACATCGAACTCAGGCGGTATAAGAAATTTTAACCTAGACAGTCACCAAAAAATCAAAAATTGGCAAAGTGCACTGCCCAGAAAATGTTCTCCGAATTTTGCACAGCACACGAAAATATTTCATATCTATATATTTAATATCCTAAGGCCTTTTTTGGCCTCCAACAGTTTGTGCTAATTCGATCTCGGAAACTACTGGACCGATTTTCCTCGGATTTGTTTTAAATGAAAGCTCATAGGGTCTAGATGTGCCAAGACCCCTTCGTTTTTCGATTTGCGCGACCGAAGTTGCAAAATTTACCTCGATTTGATAACGACATATTTGCGTTTTTGACGCTGGACGAGTCATATGGTTGGGGGACCTCCCACCCTCTGATTTTCCGTTTCCCTCTCCACGTAAACCCATCCCTACCTGCTCACAACACGTGTCACCCTTCTACCCTAGCATGGGTCCTACGGCAGTTTCACTCATGTCGGGGGTCGGCTCATGTCTTCTTCCAAGAGAATTGGTGATTTATCTTCACCCTTTCGCACAGTTACATTTTCAAAAAGTGTTCTGATTTTCTTTTCCAGGAGTGTTATTTATTTTTCAAGGTTGTTTCTTTTTCTAAAAGTGGGTAATTTTTAGTTTCCTATTCTTTGTTTTTGAATTTATCATTTTGCCTCCAGGAAGTCCTCTAAGCACTGGTAGTAGCAAAATTTGGCTCGCGAAGCGAGCCAACAGTTACTCGCTCCGCGAGTAACTGGGGGTCCAGGGGGCTTGCCCCCGGCTAGCGGCGCAAGCGAGCGTAGCGAGCTGAAGCAGCTAGTAACATGTTAAAAAGTCTTAAAAAGGATTTTCGCGGGCATCAATAGATAACAGCAATAAGCCGCAAATACACAAATTTCATCAATCGTAACGCCTTAAGTTCAAGAAAGTGGGATACAACTCTCATACTGACGTGCGTAATGGCTCTTACCTTTCCATACAACTGATCGAAAGAGCACAGTTGTACCTAAATTCCCACGTTGCGAAAATTGACCAGAATGCCAAAGTTTTGCGGCTTTTTTTTTCTTTTTTTTTTCTTTTGAGGTAGCTCTTTCAAATGTATATGATATTATATTATTTATATTATTCAAATGACCTTTAGTTACACTCCAAATTTTTACACCATATGCATTTTGTTCCGTTCTTTTCACTTTTTGCCATAAAAATGGCCGATTAACTTCCGGGGAAGTTCTCTCGAATTAATTGTCTCGAAAATTATCTCGAAATATTAGCAAGTCTGTAGGTATCCAAATTTTTGGCACACCCTGTTTTTGGTAGAATATCTTCCCGCAGAGACAATGCACCTCCCCCCTTCCTTGTATAATGGGAGGAAGGGGTGTTTTCTCTCTTGGGGTTAACCCTCCAGTGTGTAATAGTGACACCAGGGTCGTCCCCCCATGCAGTCAGTGCTAAAACAATCTATAGTTCCTAATTGCAAAATGAGCTTCCCCCGATTCTTCATTTTGCAATAAGGAACTATAGCCTTTTATGGTAATCTTTGGGAACAGTGTGATGTTTTCGAAGAATCTGTCATCACAGGGTGTTAAAGGAACTCCACAGCTATAAAATGAACCATCAAATCGCAAAATTGATCGTTTTGAGGAAAAAAGCCAACGGTTTTTGCAAAAGTTGCTCTCCTGAAAACCTACCGTACTGCCTATAGTTCCGAATTGCAAAATGCTATCCAGTTAAAAGTCACCCCAACAGTAATTTGAGCTGACCAAAAAGTATGTGCGTTCAAACTTTATAGTTGGAAATGCTGTCATACTCGTAATAGCATTCTAAATACAGGGTGTTTCAGACCACCGATTTCTCCGAATCGCAAATTGATTGCATCCAAATTGAGGAGCAGAACACTTTTACATCTTAAGTGACCCCCAAGAGATTAAATTGACCCCCCTAAACGGCAGAAAGTAACCCCTGAGAAGGAGGGCTTGGCCCCTCCAAAAATTTCTTAAGATTCCTCTTTGGTCGCAAAATTGACGTCGATTCTCCAGAAAAAGACGATTTCTGCCCAAACGGGCGGGTAGCGGAGCTTAAGGACCATGAAATTCAGAGTCCTCAGGGTCGATTACCTGGAAAACCGTCTTTTTCTGGAGAATCGACGTCAATTTTGCGACCAAAGAGGAATCCTGAGAAATTTTTGGCGGGGGCGAGGCCCCCTTCCTCAGGGATTACTTTCTGCCGTTCCGGGGAGTCAATTAAAACTCTTGGGGGTCACTTAAGATATAAAAGTGTTCTGCTCCTCAATTTGGATGCAGTCAATTTGCGATTCGGAGAGGAGCCCTGATTTTTAAAATTGGGCCCCCCCCCGTTTACCCCTCAAGGAGGGCTAGAGGAGCTTCGGGACCATGAATTTTGGGTTTCTCGGGGTCGATTACCTGGGAAACCATATTTTTCTGGAGAATCTACGTCAATTTTGAGACCAAAAAGAAATTATGGAGGGGGGTACTGTCCCCCTCTTTAGGGGGTCATTTTTGGGCCTTGGATGGGCCGATAATGGATTTTTAGGGGTCAATTTCACGTGAAATTTTCCGTGCTTTTCAATTCTGATGCGATTAATCCGCAATTCGGTCGGGAACCGTGACTTTTAGCATCGTGACCCCCCCCCTTTACCCCCTAAGGGGGGTGGGAGGGTTTCGGGACCACGAAATTCAGATTCCTTGGGGTCACTTCTCTATTCAACCCCGCGGTCCCCGACTTCGTAGGACCTAAAACAACCGAGAAAAATGCCTGGTACGGATGGTCTAAAACACCCTGTACTTGCAACAAAAACTTCAATATGTTACCCGCGTGCATGACGGCATCATTAGGTTAAAACTTATCACTCTTTTATCCTCCACGTGAATAAAGCTAAATAAAATCATGAACACCTTGCTTTGGCTTGAACACACTACAAGCTAGAGCGTAAGATGGTTTTATTAATTACTCGTATTTACGAGTTTTAACGCAACTGATTTACTTTTAACTTTCATAGAATATTTATATAAGATAAAGAAGTTAAAGATTGCCATCGAATTAGCAGATGCGTCGCCTTTTAGCACGCATTGTCGGACTGGAGTTGGAAGTGCTTGGTTGCATCAAAATATCACTGAAGGTTGAGGGAACTTGGGGTGAAATAGTTCTTTGGGTCGCTGGAATCTAGAGAACTGGAGTTGGCGGGGCCAAGTCCGTCTCCAAAGGGGAGGTCGTCAATTCGTCATCGTTAGCCGCGTCTTCAAAATCATATCCTGGCTCGTCAATGTCTTCTTCTTCTTCTTCTTCAAGTGAGAAATCCTCCTGCACCGAATTTTCGCAAGAATTACGGCAATGTTGCATAAATCAGTACACCTAAGGCCGCTTTTTCTACAGCCACAAGATCCACGGCAGCCTTTGACACATTTGCAGGAAATTTATTCAGCAGCTCGTCCGGTGCCGGCTGTTGCACAGTAACCGGCGACAAGCCATTATTTGTTGGTAGCCAGCCCCATTCCGTCGGATCTAGTTCAACACCCTTCCATTCTTGAACTTGCTG